TGGACTCAAATCACCAATGGTTAGTGATAGTGACAGAAATGATCCAACGCGCAGTCACTGCCGACTGGAACTTGAGAATTGGGGATTCAAGCGATCCCACCTGTTACATCCTCAAAACATGCCATCACCTCCAAGGCACGTTTGTATGCCCCACACTCCCATTTTCCCGTGATAGAAACTATAGCAGCTGGAACTGATGTGCCTATGGTACATGGTTTATAGCTGATAAATTGAATTGAACCTCGGAGGAATATCCCAGCCATCTCCGAACATAACTTGATGCGTCGAATATCAGACGTCAAGTGAAAGTGAGCGTGCGAACCGACCGTGAAATGTGGTGGACACAGAAAGCCAAGTACATAGAAGAGGCTCAGATACGCGCGACTGTTCCCCGGAAACCTGTGAGCGAATCCATCAAGTATCAGATGGGAGTAACCATTCTCAGCAAAGGACGCCTCGGCCGATGGGCCGAATACTTCGAGCAACAGTTATCGTGGCCACCAACTGTCATTCATCTAGAGTTCACATTCGTTCAGCTGTAGCACCCTTTCGGCGCCTAACTGCCATGCTACAAATAGGGGGCACGAGGACTGTGATACTGTCAGATTGCCCAAGTATAGACAGAGGAAGTCGAGAGGCGGAGGTCGGATTCGAACCACGGACCTTCCGGTCAGTTAATTCGCGCTCTAACCACTTCGGCCATCTCGCCCCCTAGAGTTCACAGCTGATGTAAAACCCTGAACGGCGGATTTATAGCCTCCCACACCATCGTCACCACCGTCGTCACCACCATCATCATCGACAGCATGTCACAGAAGGAAGGCACGAGGGCTGGGATACTGTCAAGTTGCCCAAATTTATGCAGAGGAAGTCGAGAGGCAGATGTCGGGTTCGAACCGCGGACCTTCCGGTCAGTAAATTCGCACCCTATCCACTGAGTTATCTCGTCCTCAGTGGGCGGTATTGCTTATTAAAAAAAAGGAGTTCCTAGTGAGTGTAGTAAGCACAGGGGGGCCAGGTCAACTCGGGTTGTAACAAGACTGCTGGCGTTACTTGGGCTTCTTCATCCTATGGTTGCTGGTTTGGCATGGACTGGAGAGCAGCAAGCGGGATCCCTGCCTGGTAGGGGTTGCGTTGACCAAATCTTCAGACTCCTTCAGGTGCTAGAAGAACGCCATACGTACAAACGTCCCCCAGTTTTAGTATCCAAGGCGAATTTGACTCGGTTGAATGATCTGTTCTTGACACACTTGTCCATCAAGGAATGCCCCGGAAGTTTGTGAACATAGCACGTTCTTTATATTATCAGACTTCCGGACGTGTCAGAATATACGACGAGCTCTCCGAAAGATTCCGCACACAGTTATGTCCATCAGGGATGCCCACTCTACCCATTCACGTTTAACTTTGTGATCGGTGAAATCATGAGACGAAGCCTAGGTATCCACACCAATAGCCTGTTTATCTGGAATATACAGACAATATGGTTCTCGTCTTTGAAGAGAAAGAGAAGTCGCAGGTGTTTTCGAGTGAGCTGACCATAGTCATCTCCATTGGAATGCGCTTTGCACCCACGAAGTGTAAGTTTATGCTTCCGGAAATGCAGTCACTGAACACGCTACTTACAATCCAGGGAGAGGCACTGGAAGTTGTTTATTCGAAGTCCCATTAGTTCTTATTTGTAGCGTGACAGATGAGGACAATGTACGAATCTGCTAGACTCGGATCGGGTTTGCTAATTTGAGATATCTACATCGTCAAGGTGGTATATTCGTGAATCTTAAGGGACGCATGTATCAGGCTACAGTGCGGTCTGTTCTGTGCTGTGGTGGTAAGACTCGGTGTGTTCGAGCAGGGGAACTGAGACGCCTTCAGGTGTTCGACAATCGTTGTCTTAGGACCGTAGCCTGTGTGGGTGGGTTTCGGAGAATCCGAAGCGAGGCAATTAGTAAGCGAGTTTTCGGTCATGCAACAGGGAAGAGAATGTGTTGATTAGGCCGTGTATTGCGTATACCGAACCATTGTTTGCCGAAGAGAGTGCTGTTTTCTGTGCCGAATTCAGAGTAGTGGAAGTAGACAGGTGGCAAATCCTCAATCTGGCAGAGGGGTACGAAGGACATTACGGTACTTCTGGATACTTTTGGTGCTACCCGCCTACCAGGATGGGAAGTGCAGGTTCCCCACTGCACCTAGTTGGAGACCCTGGGAGATATCGTTGCTAATCAATATCAATGGGACTCGTGTTATTGCTTTGTAGGTGTGGGTGTAGACACCTGGGACTGATTGTAGTAAGGTAGCACTAAGTTTCTGTTCACGTTTACTGTTTTCTTCACAATAAGGCTTTCACATAAATTATCGTTGTACGGCAGGGAAGCACCGGTGTTGAGCACTGATGCTTTGTTGTCCATGATGTTGATGATGTTGTTGGCGATTTGGGAAAGCCTTTTTTCGTAGGACATAGGAACATTATGAGAACTACATACTTCCACTCTGAAACGTGAGTTGGAATCATCAGCATCCTGGTTTGATGAAATATTACAGTCGACAGCTTTTGCCATTTTAAACTAGAAGGTTCACGCCAGCAGTTTCATCATCATCGACAGCATGACATCAGTGTCCCGTGCGGATACCTATGATGTGGCACGGCGAATCAAGAGGAACGAAATCGAAGAACGATTGCTTTTGGCAACGGATGAAAAAGAGGTGTTCAGTCCAATCTCAAGAAGCGGACTGAGAATAAAGTACTGGCCACTGACCAGAAAAAACTGGTAGGAAAGATTACATGTCGGGCGAAATTACGTTCAAGGGCATCAAATGTTGAATACTTCGAGTGTTATGATCATTATGAAATAGATTCCAGCCTCTTTTGAAGGCGCTAAAGTCATTGATGCAGTAGTGGGGTTTCCTATACTTATACTTATACATGGCCTCAATATGCCTTTCGGTTATTTTACGAAGAGGTCGTTGATCAAATGTCTGAAGATGGTCAAGGTCTTCTAGCCAGAGAAGCCAGGAGTATGGGACTTGTCTCACGGTTGCCTTGTAGACGCTGCCTTTTAAGCTTAGCGATATTCCTTTCTAACATCGGTGACAAGTTGGCAAATATTACTCGCGCCCTGGTAGTGCGTCCACTGGCTATCGGTGACACTGCATTTATGGCTTATGAAGCTGCCAAGTTTAATTGGAATTATAGCGTCTTTCCGCACGCATGGTTGAATTCTGCAGTGGTTTTGTCAGCTGTAGTGGCGATGTAGTTCGCATGTCTCGCCGGGACCACCAGAACCGATTGGCAACTACGAGTCGGAAGCCTGTTAGAGGGGATATTCGTACTGCCAAACTGTCCTCACGTTGGTTGTTTAGAGAAAGTCAGGACTGGAGTGGAACGTTTAGCTGAAACCCGTTCAGCTGTTGTACCCTTTCGATGCACAACTGCTCTGCAACTCAAAGGAAGCATGACAGTTAAGATGTTGCCAGGTTGCCCATTCCTAGCCAGAAGCAATCGAAATGCCATGGTTACATTCGAACTGTGAATCGATAGGAGTCCCAAAAGCAGCCGATACCCGAACAGCTGGTCCGCTGCAGGTAGGATTATAGCTCGCTGCATCCAGTCATCGCAGTGAATGCATTGCACTGCGATGGAGGGAAAACCAATCGTGTGCGCCTATCGTGATTTGAGGCAAAAGAGATCAAGCCTAACAAAGGCAGTTAGACAAAGGTAAGAGAGAGCCAAGACAGATGTCTTTCATTTCGGTCTTTTCAAGATAAAGGTCCGATAAAGCCGGCTGTCTGTGGTACCTATATGCACTTCTACGCTGATTGAATTGATACTTGATGGACCAACCCTTAACCACCAGCTTGAGTGACATAATTTGCAAATCCCTGCCAACTCCACTGGCATAGGTTCGGTACCGAGTCATCAATGAGGACATCTCGGCCGTTTTCTCAAGTTGATTTTTCTTCTATGGAATCAAGATATGGGGGTGATACTTGGCCGGATCTATTACTACTCCGCCTTAATTGAACTTAAAGTCAACACAAAAACGATGGTATCATCTGCCAACTTGTTACTGTCTGGACCGGTAGACGCAGTGTGATGCATTTATCGAGTCCGTCCCCAAACTCAAATTCATCTGCTCCTCAGTTTGGTTCAGTTTGACAGCCACAAACCGTGTGCCAAGAGTACGTTGGTTCGGTCACTAGGAAATGGAAAAACAGAAGGACATAGCCAAGAATAGGCGTTGTCACAATCAGTCAGTTCGGGAAACTAATTGGGCAGCTACTCATTGGAGGTGACAGCTTTGATGCAGGAGTGCCACTGACTGCGCGATTGTGCCGTGTTTGCCAGTGTCATCAGACAGCGGTGCCCTTCCAGGGAAGTGTTACTCATCGACCTGACTGAGCCTACTGGTTAGTGTTTCCATACCTCGTTTGGAAGTCATACTCCGTCCACTTCTCAGTCTTTTCCACTCAGCAGCCGAGCGAAAAGAACTTTGCTAGCAGATGATCTTCTGGCATGCGAAGTCTATGTCCTTACTAGCGTAACTTATGAAGTGTGAGTAGTTCATTCTTCGCGATACCGTCACTTTTCCCCAAAACTACCTGGCGTACCTCGGCATTACTAATCCTATATTCTCACCAGACCGGACCAGTGCTTTGGAGACACCGATAGTCAAAGACGACTTCCGTACGACATCTGCTCGTAGAGCAAGATAGGAGTGAGGAGAGAAGAGAGGTCTAAGGGGGGTTAGTTTTGATTAGAGAGTAAATGTTCAAGATTTGACTGGAGGAGTAGAGAAGAGAATTTGGTATGAACTTAACTGCACAAGAGCTCCGCTCATTTCTCCGCTTCCTCTGGGAATGGCAGGATCTCCGGTATACCAAGGACAGCCACCATATCCCACGTTGAGTTTCGAACAGTGGGTAGAACCTCAACACACTCAACCATTAAGTCCAAGGGGTGAGATGACCCAAAGTGATTAGAGCGTGAATTCACTAACCGGATGGTCTGTGGTTCGAACCCGACCTCTGAATCTCGACTTCCCCTGTCTAGGCTTGGGCCACCTGGCAGTATTCCAGCCCTCGTGCATCCTTTGAGTGGCATGGCAGCTAGGCACCGCAAGGGTGTTACAGCTGAACGAGTAGAAGAGTCTCAAGTCCTGATTTTGTCCAATAAAGAGTACGGACCGCAATACCTCAGTGTTAGCTCTGCTCCTGACAGACAAACTGACCTCAGTGAATGAATACTTTCTATGCGTATTGCACCACATAGCCATAGCCATCACGCTCTTCGCATTGGCTGAAACGCTTTTTAACGGGCTTGTTTCTGGGAGACCTCATATTCTGACCCCACTCTTTATTTTTCGTTAAGTCCTGCTCAAGCAAACTAGTGATATATCGGTCTTATCGTTTATTGCTGTATTCCAACTACACACCATAATGGTGACACAAATGAGCAATTTGATTAATCAACCATTTTTTGTGTATTTTGTCCGGATGCCACCAACAACCGTCGCGGAAAAGAGCTTCCTCAGCTGTAACATTGTTTCGATTTATTTTCAATTGCATATTGATCATATCGATCCCGGAAATGCTGTATCATTTGAATCGGTTTTGCAACTTTTCTTTCCAGTGGCGCACCTTTATAAGGTAATTTGTCCACTTTCCTTCATGATCAATCCCCTGAGCTAGGAGGTTAAAACGGTTCCGGATGGCACGGATCGTATGAGGCAAGTTGTTGACATTTTTTGTTTCACAACCTCTTACTTTGGTGTCATCATCATTGTCAGGTGGAATAACCGCGTAGTCGTCGTACAGTGATTGTAGCTGCCACAGTTTCGTTCACTGATGATTCGGGGAGGTGAGGTAGGTAGCTGCGCATTGGAGGCGCTGATAGATAAATTAGTGCGTAAATACAGCACTGTAGGTGGAGTGTTAAGTGACGGGATTGGAAAGGGAGCTATGCATTGAAGGGAATAGCCTGGATGCATGAGCGCCATTGATGTTGCCTGTCTTGGGGTCCCCATCCAGGAAGACGGCAATGACCAGCGCAGCTGAGTTTACTGGTAATGGCTTTTGTACTGCGCTGTCAAGTCATTGCTTGACCGCCTCTGGCTCTATTTCACCCTTCACGTGGTTGTGCGAAAAGAACCCTTCGAGGAAATCGGTTGACTGGTATACGCAGCACGTGGTCAAGCCAGCGCAATCTATGCGGTGTGATCAGTTCATCTGTCGAGGGTGAGTTATTTCTCCCGGATACCATTCGACGTACTTCAGAATTGCTGATCCGGTGTTCCCACCAGATTCGGGCAATGCCCCGAAGATATCGATGATCAAACACAAAGTTTATTGACGTCCTCCGCGCATAGCGGCCAGGTTTCAGATGTGATTTCTCACAAACCGCGCCAAAAACGGGGCTTCGTTCTCGAGCTTCACTTTTAACAGCAAAGACCGTAATTTGAACTGTCGCTCCAGCGTGTATCCTTGAGATGTTTTTGTGGAGTGATCAACTGAAGACAACAGTTGATCGTGTCGATAATCATATGAAATCTCTCGGTTATCGTTGGGGAGATAGACTACTTGCTGGCTTTCACAATGACAAAATTCGAACCCAGCACTTTTCTCGCGCTTTTATCAGATCGATCTTAAGAGTTTTGTGATTTACGACTAACTACAACTTTTTTGTTCTTCTAAGATATACAAATCATATGGAGCTCTTCGCGGTTATCAACACGCTTCAGTGCCTCGAGATGGCCTATAGTCAAGATTATGTCAATTACGCAGAGTAGGTCTTCATCTTGGTTGCTTATTTTGAGCGAATTTTTAGCTATGCAAAAGCATGCAGTAAACTCCTGAACCAGTACAAAGTGCGATTCAGACAGCTTGCCTCCGAATTTCACACAGTGGAAGAGTTTGCCTCTCGTTACAAGGTACTGTTCGCTACCGGACTGTTTCTGTTCATTTATTGTTAGATGGTTTGTCCAGCTGCTTTGGAGCGCATCAAGGAAGGTCGTCCAATCACAATGCATGATTCCACAGTCACACGGAATATGCAGTTTGTTGAGGTATGTTTCATCCATATTTGGTTACATTTTCACAACATTTCCGGTCTGATCTCCTGATTCTTCTATTTCCGGGACTACAACTTGCGGTCTCGTGCAGGTGTTCGATGTTAGAAACAGCACGTTCGTAGGTGTGATTCAGGGATACGCCTGCGCATTTTACACCTAAGTGACAGCGTCGAACGAGTACAACGGGCTTTTGAATGTCTTTCCAGGCGTTCAAGTTACACTCGACAGGAAGCCGGCACTGGGATAACTGCGGAAGTCCCGACTTCCTTGAAATGTCTAATAGGGTAACTTTTGCTCAAGACTGCATGCATGACCGTGATCTATTTTGAATGTCCACCCCTTTCACATTTTCAACCTTAGTTAGTGAACTGCCATTTTAATGCAGTTGATTTTTTGAGACGTCTTTCAAGATACCTAAACTTTATATACTTTCAATTAAGTTTTTTAAGTCCAACGATTATACACTACTGGCTCCAAGTTTGTGTTAATGAACTCATGCTTGGTCTATTGGTTACTTGAGACGCTTTTTGTCCACGCTTGTTGCTCAAAAAGCAGTTGAAAAGTACTGTGGCTTCATTTTTTCGTTGTCTGTCGAACTCTCTACTAGATATCACTATATTTTGCAGTACTGTTGTATCTAGTGTTCTCTTCTCGTTATTTCTGGCAAAGTGCCTCGAGTTTTTACCACTAACATTTTCTCCGTATAGGTCCGTTGTTAAGGCGCAAACTTAGTGACTGGAAGGTCAGTGGTTCTAACATCTTGACTGCTCCTGCCGAGGATTGGTCTGTGTTCAGCTTTCGTTTTTCCCTGAGGTGGCATGGCAACTGGGCACAGAAAGGTTACATTTGAATGATTCCCATTATCATTTGCCGTGATTACTTCACTTAATTACTTTCCGGTGACTTTCTCCCGGATAAGTATGAGTCGACTCCAGTATATCTATAAAGTAACACGGGGATTTGCATGCGAGTGACAGCCCCATAGCCACACGGCTTTTGCTCGAGAGTGCACCTCTAGTCTTTTCCAAACCAAATGCAGACTGAAAGACTGTAAATGTGTCGGCGTATTGACAATGAATAATAGTCATTCAGCTGTTACCCCATTTCTGTGTCTCGCTCCCATGCTGCTTGAAGCACGAGGACCGAGATGCCGTCAGGTTATTCAAGCCCTAAACAGAAGCAGTTGAAATTCTGGGGTTGGATTTAACACCCTCCGGTCAGTAAGTTGTCAAGAGTGTGATTTTTATGGCAGAACGTAGAGAAAAGAAAGTCAAGGTGGAGAACACTGTCGGTATTAGAGGTGACCTCGTTACCAAATAGAATTACTGCTTCGTTTGCATGTTACATCATTAGCCCATTATCCATGGCTTGTAAACTTAGCTTATCTGGTAAAGGCATCAGGCTACTCTTCGTGGGCATAATATACCCACTGCTAGACTGTGAACAGCCTGGTCAACACATTTCTGGACAATTCTGTACAAATGATTCCTTACCACCCCACGAAACATAGACTCAGCTCTATCAAAATGAAACAATTGCGGGATGTAGCACCACCTAACATACGAATTCCGGAGCATTTTCCTCAGAATAACCATGGGGTGATTATGCCCGCATACATCCGTTGTATACGCAGGCCTAATTTTGTCCTCGGCACAGTTTCCCCGTTGTTTCGGTCGAAGCTACCACAGCTCACTACTCTATCGTTTGAAGAGGACGATAGCGAATTTGTGCTTTATACTTTCATTTGACACAGAACGTACGTTGGAGTTTGGTGTGATCATCACTCTTGTTGGGATCCCTGGACTAGTTCTTTTGATAAAGTAACGGCTACTGACAGGTAGACCCATAGGTGGTGTTTTGGGCGCCTGTATTGAGGTTTGGGCAACATGACCTCACAGTTGTCCCGCTCTGTTTGAATTGAAGGACTACTGAAGTTGAGTAGCAGATATTGAGTCATTATTGCTTTTGTAATTTCCAAAACAGAGGATCGTCTGCCATTCGATTTGCTATTTTGTTCCAGACCAAACTTTTATGAAGGCCAACACAATGAAGTGCGCTTCAGTGCTTTCCTTAAACTGCTGTAGTCAGTACTAAAGGCCTAACTGAGGTTACTGACTCTGCTACCGCAGCTAGCTAGAAAAATTTCCTTCAGCGTCGTTAAGATTGAATATCGTACTTTGGTTAACCAAACGAAAGGTCTACAAGCTAAGTGGCTCTACTTTGGTTTCATGAAGTGACAGTTCTATTGGTCAAGTTTGTTATTTCTCATGGTAAACAAAAATAACTGATCGGTTAGACCGCAGTGCGTTCTTTCGAACGATCGGGTGGAATGTCCACTTGTTGATACTGTCAAGGACGGATTACGTACAGCTGTGCGCTGTAATTTGCACAAGTTTGCCAGCGAGGGGCGAATATAGTAATTTGCACAAGTTTGCCAGCGAGGGGCTTCACAATGCGAATATGAACGCAAAGCTTAGCCTGGGGTAACTACATCACATAATAAACACTTGTTTAGTGTTTTATTTTCTCAACCACAAGGTCGGTGCTAAGTTGAACGTAGCAGTACCTACACGAAGACGTTTGCACATTCCAGACAAGTACTATGGTTGACCGGGAGTTTACTGCCGTTGCATTATGTTCCACGACAATTGTCTTTTGGGTTGCAACTACCAAGCGTTATCGTTGTTAACCTTTCCAAGTTCAGTTTGCCTCATTAATTACTGAATCGTTGATAATAACTGTAGTAACGACCACGGCCGCATCAGTTGAGTATACAGAAGACTCACCAGTACTGACTGTTTCTGTCTGGATATGCAGTTTCTGAGTCAGTGGTTCAATGAGCTTCAATTGCGCTTCTTCAAACTGTTTTTGTTGCTGCTGCAATAGTTCTCGGAGATGACCATATTCGTTTGACGTCGTGGGTACCCGTTCGGTACCCTGTCAAGCTGCGGTGCGCTCCATATTACTATATGGATCAGAAACCTGGCCACTGCGCACCGAGGACGTCAAAAGACTTTCAGTGTTTGACCATCGATGTCTCCGGAGCATTGCCCGAATCTGGTGGGAACACCGGATCAGCAATTCTGAAGTACGTCGAATGGTATTCGGGAGAAATAACTCACCCTTAATAGATGAACTGATCACGCTGCACTGCCTCATTATTTCGTCAGTGACGAAGTTGAACAGGAATGAGTGGACAACACTTTTTGTAAGGATGATTTTGGAGAGTGCACCATAAACTCGCATGCGCCCAGAAGTATGAGAACACAGAGACCAGCTTATGTGCACACACTTATGGAACATACAATCAACTTCAAGCCTTGGGGGCGATGGTGTGTTCAGTTGGTTCGGAAACTGGGCAGTAACACATTGAAGCTTTTGATGTACCAGCGCAAATGACTTAGCGATTGAGCCATTTCTGTCAATCATTAACCAGTGATGAGGTGGGCCCCGGGGTCTTCATCCAGGGCGGTGGCAGTTGTTAAGCCGGGTAATTTTACTGGTTAGTGTTCTCATACTTCATCGCCAGCTTATACACATGTAGCAACGGTATTTTTCTCAGCTTAGTTCTCGGCTTGAACTTCCCAAGCTACCGTTCACGTCAAAACAACCATTAAAGGTGCACAAGGTATATTAACGCCCAAAACGAAGTCAGGAACACTTGTACAGCGCTTCATATATATAACGTAAGCGACAATAACTTTCTGGGAATTCTGACGCGTTCTGGATGCGCCATTGGCAACCGGCCTTCGGGTCATGATTGACTGTTGGGTCCAGACTTTCGACGAAGCATATCTCGGTTTGATGCCGGACCGGCAAGCGTCCCGAATTTTTTTGGCCAGTCTTGCATGGGGTTGGCTTCTCGGCCGTATCAGCACCTGACTGCAAGCGGTAACGCGGGGTTTTTGTCTGATTCCGCCTAACAGCAACGCGACTGGCAGCTTGTGACTACGGCAGGGTAGACTAAGCTGTCAGGTGGACCCCCAGTATACGCCTGCTTGTGCCTGGATTTCAAGTCTACCAAACTACTGCTAAGTATGACTATCAGCTAAACTGAGCGGTGTAACTTCTACCCGGACCCTATTCATTCTTGTAGCGCATCCTCAGTGGAAACGACTGCTTCCATCACGCACTAGGCTGTTTATTTAACTCTCTCTCTGCTTTTGTGCTTCCAGTTTGCCATCACAATAATGGACAAACTCAGGTTGAACGTCGTTTCCGTGGATGTTGTAAGTCACAACTGTATAACATTACGTTACCACCAGTTTGTTGCAGATAACTCCTGATCTACGAAACCTGTACGATATCCTATGCAAAATGAGTGTCATTCCGGATAACTACACCGGGAAGGATATGATGCAAGGATGGTGCGTTCGTTATTTGTCTTTCTGCAAATTCACGTTTTGTTGATAGCCCCATGTTTTGTGCAATAGATATCGTTCAGCTAGATGTCTCACCTGGGAGGCAGGTCGATGAGATTGCCTTCAACTGTCGATGCTGCAGATGATCTTCAAGCACATTTATAGGCTTGGGGAGTGCACCTTTTCGCCACCCTCTTTTCCTCGTGGCTGTACAAAATACCTACTCACTTGCGGTAACCACTGAGGATCCAAAAAACCCGAGAACAGTTATTGATACGAGAATGATTCTATCGCAATACCCATGCGATATCTTTGAGTGCTATCTCATCCAGGGGTTTGATTTCTTCAGCATTACGCGCTTTTTGATTTGTCGAATGGCCTGTAACCATACCATCTTTAGCAATCTCGTGCTTCCGTGTCGGTCCTTCCATACCTAGCTAATTCGGCAGGGCCCGCACAAAATCGTTAGCATCCTATATGGTTTGCGCTGGGCCGCGTGTACTTCCGCTTTGGTGACCCTAATCTAGTATAAACCTGAGGGAATAAGACTTCAGGGAAAAGGTGATGAGAGTTCTAAAACCATGAACATGCCGAACTGGTGACCGAAAATTGTAACTAGACTCAACTGAACAAGTGAGCCCCATAGTGCATGCGAAAGTTTATCAGGTCGTCCGCACCGCTCATAAGGCGCACTCTAGGCGTATACAAATGGTCAGCAATTGTTAGACATGATTCTGTTAATTCTATACACTAATTATCACAGAGAATCACCTCTAACACCCCAGTACATTCCAGGTCCTTTGCAGATGGTCATAAGGAATGCAAAAATCTGATACAGTAACTCGTTTCAACACAACACCGTACAATACGACGTGTACATAGTAGATGCGAAACGACTGGAAAGCCAAATGGAAACGAAACTGGGGCCACTCCTTTGAGAACTACTTGCGGCTCCCTATAGTTAAGCCGGTATGGACAGTTGCTTTTAACATCTTATTTAACATATCTCCCGGTGACCCGTACCACTCGCGACACGAACTTTGGGCACATCAACAGCCAGCCAGTGCTTACCGTTATTCAGTTTGGCCCCGCAAAGTCACTTCTAGCCCCGATAGAGGTTAAACATCCTAAAGCGTTCATGGGATTAAGGCGCGCCTGTGGATAATCAGATGGGTAAACCCCAGCGTTGGAACTCAGTGGTGTCCGCTTCGGAAGGGGAGGGGCTATGTCACTAGTAAGCCTAACCAAGGAGATATCCTAATGGTGTTGCTTATTTAATGACAATTTGACTCGATTGTGTCCATATAATCAAAAGTTACCTCTAGCCACATCACAGGCTTAGAACAGCGAATTGTCCAGTAGGTTATAGCATTTTTGTCTGTTCGCGTCTGTACGGCGATGGTCACATAAACGTACTTCTGACACCGTCAGAAGGTTGGCTTTCTGATAACGTAAGAAGATCAGGGTGGGTCTGGTGAACGTAGTTTACTCATCGACTTTTTTCCGACCAGTTTATTTTAACCAGCACACACGTAATGTAGGTCCGGATTCGGTATCCAGGTTCATCAGCCTCGGTGATGCCTTGGTGTCACACATGCTTCAGCCCTCGGGCTCGAAGTTAGTGGTCGTTGCATTAACGGTGGGATTCCGTTCCCCACATCAGCAACTCTCAGGCTTTTGACCAAATTATCCAGGTATCAAAACTCCTGCCTGCCATGGTTCCTCTTCGTATTTAGTCGACCGTATGGAGGCTGCTTCGGAGTCCCATTTAATCTATTTAACAAATGTGGCCAAAGTACTACACCAGTGGAATGGGATCATGTCCTGCATTCGATCCCTTTCTGGGACCCGTATGGCCGCCATTCGTTCGCTCCAGTGCGTACAAAGTATCCACCACAGCTAGCCCGTTTGAGAGCTACTGAAGTGTCGGAAATCGAGCTGGCACATCGTCAATGTTTGAATGTCGTACGAGAGAACAGATG